CCCCAAAACCCCAAAACCCCAAAACCCCAAAACCCCAGGTGCTATGAATTAATTGAATCGGGTATTTTGAAGAATTATTATATTGATAAGTATTTAATGGATTCATTTGTAGAAAATCCACAACAGTATTAAGTCATCTACTAAAAAGGCAAACAATCCGATGGCTGTTTACATTTTTAGAAAGATCACCTCATGTCAGTTTAATACAAGAATTCAATTATAGAGAATTTGGAAAATATTGAGCAAAACTGAATTCAAACACAAAGTTAGATATTACAGAGCAATCAACCTAAAAATAATATTATAAGGAAAATAAAGGTAAAAAAGACATTACTCAATAATACAAATAATCCTAATATAATATCTAGCAACGGAGATTCAAATTTATATTCATCAGATAACTTTAATTACAATGAAATACCCTTATTATACAGACAATCGCAACTATAAAGCATTATATCTGGCTAGGCATTTACTAAAATCCGAAAAGTAAAGAAGAATAATGGCTTAATAGTTCCAGATAAGAATAAGAGTCTAGATCGAATAATGAGTGCAGCCGACTATTTAAGTGGAAGTTAGTTTAGGAGTTCAAATGAATTCTCTGTTGATTAAGTAGAGATAAAGACAGATCACTCTAATTTTCAACTGCTAAATAGTAGGCTACCGTTTGAGTAAATTAGAAATGATAATACAAAAAGTGCAAATGCTAATAATATTTTACTTGAGTAAGATACTGTCAATAGCAATTAACTTTAATTAAATAATGTGGAATCAGGCAGAACTATGGAAGGAGACTTTATCATAGATAGAAATAGACTTAATCATCCTTCAGAATCACTAAATTAATAAAAGCAATAAGTATCAAAGATAAGTTCAAGTATAAATTCGAGAAGACAATCTATTAAAAAGAACATTGAAAAAAAACTGAAAGTCCTATCATCTAGAAACTCATCACCCTAGGGGCTTAAAAAACTTTTTGACAACTACTTTGCTATTTAATAATCTAAAATTAAGCAAGAAAGAAAAGCTGATTCGATTCTTACTAAGCATAATAATAATAATGGCGACTAATCTACTAAAAATAAGCAAGGTTAGTTTAAGAATATATTTATTGCTGGAGGAGCTGATGAAATAAGAAATAACTATCTGCTTAAGGTGCTGGATAAGATAAATAAATTGCACTAAAAAAAAGAGAAAAAAAGGAAAAAATTGTTGAAACAGGCTAAAAAAGAATAAAAAGAATCTGATGCTTAAAAATTACTTTTGAGAGAATTAAATAGAGTAGAGCTTGAAATATAGATGAAAATTTAGAAAAACATGAAGAAAATCAAAGATCATGTCTAATCTAAACGAACATTAACTGAATTTGACAGTTTGAAATAGGATGAGATAAATAAGGAAATAAATGACGAAATAATTCCTATTAATAAAAAAGAAACTTCTACAACAGATGATAGTTCAAAGCAAGGGGCGAATGATTTATCAACCAAGGCACAAAATTTCTAAAGAAATAGATACATCAAGCCTAATAGACGGCTATCGACAGGAATTAAATAAAGCCAACCTTTTCGAATGCAGCCTTAAGCAATAGACAGTGATGATAATAATGTTGAGACTTTGAGATAAATAAGCAATAAACTTAAATTAAGGGATAAATACCTGAAACATCCATAATAATACTTCTAAACTATCAATAATATTTAGACCTTAAACAAGGATTCTCGAACATTATCCAGATTAAAACAGAGCTTTTCTCAAACTAATCAAGAATCTCAGGCAGAGCATTAGAGAAGAGATTATAACTCTCATTATTACAGTAAACAAGACAGATAAGACTTGAGGTAGAGACACAACTTTAATAGAATTTAAGCAGTATAAATCTCAAATGCATCATAAATCCTGCCTAAATCTAAGGAAGAATTCTTCAATAATCTAAACCCACCAAGCTAAAATAACGAAATATTACAGACCAAAGAAAGTACTCCATAATCTCATCTGAATCTTAACTTTCACCATGCTGTCATAAATTAGAGTGGTAAAGGATTACCTAATCTTAGAATTAATCAAAGTAGTATTATTAGTGAAAATTAGCCCTACTATATGGTCCCATCTGAAAAGATAAAAAATAGTGCAAAGAAGAACTAAAAGAGATTCGAAGAACTTATGAAATATAATTGGGAGGAGAAAATCTCTTCATTGAAAGATTAGGTAAACTAGATAAAGAGCAAACCTCGATTTCATCAAATTGATAATGCAAGTAACAAAGGACTTGAAACTAAAAGGGATACAAGCAGATAAAAAAAAGTTGTACAATTCACTCTTCCTGAGATATGAAGATGATATAAATAAAAATAGTCATAGTTATATTTAAAGTATATATGAACAAGTTTTCATCTCATTCGTAATAGTTAACAATTAAAATAACTTAATTATCATTCAAGAGTCACTTTCTCTCCTTCCTCTTCTATCTTGTTGAACTGGCTCACCGCCCTAAGTTTTAGCAACAAATTCAGGAGGTCTTCCAAGAATATAACTAGGTTGTCTCATTGGAACTCCTACTCCAAGTAGATACATATTGAGATGAGTTATGTTCTAAATGATGTTGCAAAATTCTTTTCTAGACTTATTCCATTCATCATATTCATTTCCTAATTGTAGTTCTTCGTCATCCGAGTCTAGGAGTCTCTATCTTTTTGAATAGTATTTACCTTCTTTTTTTAACTTATTTTTAATTTCCTATCTTTTGTCTCTTCTAATGTCTATTGGATTGCAACCCTTGCATCCACAATACTTACATCCGTTTACAGGTAAAGTTGCTCTTCTTTAGAGTCTTGGAACTTAGCACAAACATGACTAAATATATGTTAAATAGCTAATAATATACTTTTCCTGTTTTTGAGAATGCTTTCATGCATTCACGGCAGCATCCATTTTTCATGATAAATTTAGCAGTCTTTAGTCCACCTTCAAAAAGATCAAGATCTACTCCGTCATCATCATATTCAGTAGGGTGATGAGAGTCTTTGTTTAAGCCTTCCTAGTCCCTACTCTAATCATCCTTATTTTCTTCATTCTCGCCTGATAACCTATCTCTATCCTAGTCTATATTATTGTTATCCGCACTTTCCCTTCTTTTTCTTTTTCTGAGTAAACTCTACTATTGATTTTATTGAATATCTCCAGGATTAAGTCTATTGTTATCTTCTTCTTCATCAGAATTATCTGAAAAATCAGAAAAATCACTTAAATGTTCATCTTGCTGTAGTTATTACTATTGCTACTGCTATTACTATAACTATTGACCAGCAGATTAATTAGTTTGATACTGATTCAAGGAGGTCGTATAATTCTAATTCGGTGCCATATTAGTCTAATAGGCTTAGCTATAGTTTTAAGCTTATAGCTGGTATTGCTCAGGATTAAGTGCATTATCTTAAAGTTATTATTGCTACTATAATATCTATGGTTGATATTGAGGAATTTATCTTAAAAGATTTTCAGGACTATTAAGTTCCTGATTTTGCTGATTGGTAGTATTTAAATCACCTCCTTCCATTATTAATTTTACTATTTTTTATATAAATTAAAAATTTAGCTTGCCGGGGTTTTGGGGTTTTGGGGTTTTGGGG